ATAGTTATGGTCTTGTACGATAAGAAGATAAAAAGAAAAAGAAAAAGAGAAATAAAATTTGAACTTAAATCTTTTTAATAGAATAAAATTTTTCGAAGTTGGAATCGTTAGTAAAAATCGGTTAGTTATACAGTGGTGAATTCGTTTTCGAGCCTTGTACACGCATTGGGCATGCTCGAGTCGTTGCCTTAAATGCAGGGAGGGAGATGCTCAAAGCAAGGCTAGCGACTGGAGTGAAGTCGTAACAAGGTAGCCGTACTAGAAGTGCGGCTGGATCACCTCCTTTTTAGGGAGAGCTAATGTTTGTTGGGTATTTTGGTTTGACAATGCTTTACTCCCCTCAAAAAAGAAGGGAGCTACGACTGAGTTAAATTTGGAGATGGAAGTTTTCTTTCATTTCTCGACGATGAAATAAGACCAACCTCATAAGCTTATTATACTCAAATGAAAGACGTCTTTTTAAATTTTAAAATATAATTTTTCATCGAAAGATGGTCAACCAATTCTTCTTCTTTTGCATGAGATTTGGCTAGTGCATAGTATACGTGTCAAATTTTTACAGGTATATATTCAGATCGATGTATATATGTGGTGTATCGAAGTTCATCACGTACATTATTAGATAGCAACTAATAACTAATGAGAAAATGAGTGGTTTTAAGTTCTTTTCATTTCTTTTAATTTATTCACGTGACTTTTGTCGTTTTTTTATGGATGATAAAATTAATTCATAAAAATATAATTTAATTTGCTGATATTTTTGTAATTTATTTAATTATTAACTACAAACAAAAAAAGAACTCAATAGAGTTGGACGAGTCATGTTATAATCCCTGATTATTTTGATTTTTTTTATCGGAGATTTTTCTGATTATTTTGATTTTTTTTCATAGGAGATTTTCTAGTAAATTGAACAGTAATAAATAAAATAACAATTAAGATATTTAATCAACTGAGCTATTAAAAATTTTTTATGACCTATAATTCTATTCACTTTAATCACAATTTTGAACTTCATACTATACTAACTCAGTCAATAAATAAAACGTTCATGTTTAACAACTCGATTTTTAACCTAGCTTGAAGCAAACATAGTCAAAAGTTCATAATCATTCTATTTGCAATGTCATTATTGTAAATTACTTCATGCGTTTATCAACTCATCTTAGATCTCTTCAAATTAACTTTATCCATTCATTCGATAATGACAATAGTTCATAAATCTCCGATATCGTTGTTGTAAATTACTTCATTCGTTTATTAACTCAACTTATTTTGATCTGTTCAAATTTAACTCAATCCATTCATTCGACAATGACAATACTTCATAAATCTCCAATGTCATTGTTGTAAATTACTTCATTCGTTTATTAACTCAACTTATTTTGATCTGTTCAAATTCAACTCAACCCGTTCATTTGACAACGACACTTCTTTTGACTCACAATATTTTGCTGGCATTCTCTTAAAATTCTTGCTATTTATACAACTCCCAACAGCTCTATTCTTCTATCTCTCATCTCTCTTTTTCTCTCTCTCTCTCATCCTCACAAAGACAATAAAAAGAAGAATTTTAAGCAAAAAAAAAAATCAATAAATCAAAGGCAAAAAAATGGAGCAAAAAAATATTTTTTTTCTTCTTTCTCTTATGGTTTTACTACTAATTTCCTACACAACAACAGCTCGTTTATTGCCAACAATTAATTCTCAAGGTATTGATTTTTTTTTATTTTAAATTTTTTAATGAATTTCTATAGAGCTTCAAAAATTAAATTATTGTTGAATAGTAATTAATTAATTAATTATTATTTTTTTCACAGAATCTAATGGGATTATTAGTAATAATCCAATTTCCTCACAAGTACAAGAAGATTTCAATGATGTAAGTTCTTTCTCTTATTTTCCACCCTTATATACGGTATATGAGCTTATCCGAATCGATATGATCAGTGAAAATTCATATTATCGATTTGAGATTTCACTTCTTTCAAAAACAAAAAAAAATTAGCTAGTGAGAAGATTTTGTAATTAGTAAAAAAAATTCTTTGTTAATTCTATTTAGCGATAAATTATCAAAATATTTTGTTTGCTATGAATAATAAAGCAATAATTTCAATTTGTTTTTGTGTTTAGGCCTAGTAATTTTTTAGCCTATTGATTTTAGCTAGCTCGTATTTGAATTTTTCTTTTTTATGGAAAAGTAATTTTTTATATATACGATATAATTTTTTTAAAAAAAATATTCAGTTGATCACCTTTCATTTATTTCGGAGTTAAGAGATAAAAAGGGGTTCAATTTAAATATTTTCTTCCAAAAAGTATGGCAAAAATAATTTTTTTTGTACATATATAAATTGTTGAATCGTCTAGATATTACATATAACTTCTAAGAATATATATAGAGTAATAAAATTTTTTTTTGTATTTTCTTTAATACACTTATTATAATTTTTGAGCTCCGATTTTAAAAATTCATATATACGACTCTAACTTCGAATTGATTTTTTTTATTGAAATAGCTCATGGGAATAGAAGAATGTGAAGAAAAAGATGAAATTTGTTTCAAGAGAAGAATGACTGCAGAGGCTCATTTAGATTATATTTATACTCAACACAAGCCAAAACATTGAACAAGTTTATATTAATATTATTTTTTTTCTTAAGGATGGTTAATTAGTAATGTTCTTTTCTATACTTTAAATTATAGTACAACGTACTAAAAGAAACTTTAATTTATTAAAACTTGTATTTCGATGTATCATAAGATTGTAGTACTATGTTTTGTGAGAATTATAAAGATAGCCAAAAGTTTAATTATTACTCTTTGAGTCTTGATCTTTGTTTATTATTTTCTTCGTTTCATATTAGTAATTTATTTTTATTTTAAGAAGGGTAATATTATTAACGTACTTCCTAAAAGAATTTTCTTGAAACTTGACGAGCTTGTTTTATCCTTTTAAAAGGAATAAATTGTAAGGGTAAAATAGGAAAAGATAAATTAATTCTATCTTAATTTTATAAGTTGACAAGTAATTTGGAATGATTATTGTTAATTACATGAACAATTAATATGAAACAAAAGGATAGAACTAAAATGAAAAAAATTATGAGAAGAGCGTAATAGTAGATCTCGCAATACGCAAATTCAAATTTAATCAGATTTTAAAAAGCTATCAACATGAAAAAAAAACAAAAAATAATTAAAAAGAAATCGTCGGTTATACTATATGTTCCCTATCAGCAATACTTTGAATTGATAACCCCAATTTTTTAAATAAATGTTATCTTTAAATTATACTTTTACACCGTCGAAAATTGTATTTTTGTGATATAAATAAAGTAATCATTTTATTTTATTCAACTTATACAATAATCTGTTGAGTATGAGTCCTATTAATTCGAATTATTTAGTAATAAGTACTGAACTTTTTTAAATCAATTTTTTTGGGAGGTATCCCAGATAAAATAGTTAGGGTTAAATATTTTTTTCCCAAAGTGACGGAGTCGATAACAAGGTGTTGAAGCTAAAAGCTTTCGGAAAAATTTTAGTGTGTCTTTGATTCATTGAGCGAGAAGCCCTTTCAGCACACTCTCTCTCTATATATTTTAAAAATTAACTAACCACAAAGGTTCAATTCCCGATGTCCTTTTTATTTGGGGTGGATTAGAAAAATACTACTTATTTGGCGAAAAGAAAGAACATATTTCTTTCGTTCAATTTTACTTGTTATTGTTTGATTTAGTACATGTATTAAAAAAATAATTATTAAAACAGATATTTTATTAAATTATCTCTATTAAATAAAAATTTATTTTAAAAATAAATGACAAGTAAAAGTATGCGAATGATGAAGTTTCTTTGATAAGGGGACAACAGCATGAGTAAAGGGATCAATTTCAAATTCCAATTAAAAGAAAATTGGTAGACCCAGAGTTGACCTTTAACAGATTCCTTCAATTATTGCACCTTTGTCTCTTTTCTTACTTTTTAAGTCCAAATGTAACAAATCATTCATTGGTATTAGTGTCTTGTCTTTTAACACAGCTGTATGATTGAGCCATACTTGTTCAATATATACTATGCATTTCACACATTATTTGGAGATTTTTAGGTTTAATTATTGAAAAAACAATTATTTGTGAATCTAAATATACCATAGTACTCTAATTTTATGTGGTACCATGACTTCTAGTTCTAGAATATAATCTTAAACATGTAGAGTTTTGAATACTTATTTCATAAGAAATGCCTATTCATGAATAATATTAAAACTCGCTAAAAATAGTTTCATAATTACTAGCTTTTATGATTGACTCAGTCGATGCACTTGAGTTGCAATGTGACAAATGACAGTGCTTCGAATATTGTGTTGGTTAGCCATCATAGCAAATGGCAGCGCCTCGAGCATTGTGCAACTAGTTTACCCTTTTAGTCGATGTTTAAAGGGTCGTTTGATTAGAAACAAATTATTCGGAAACTATTATATATATGAGATAACTTATCCCTTGATGGGATAAATAATCTCAAGATTGTCTAATAACTTCAACCAAACGTAAGATACAATAATATAAGACTATTATACCTTATACTTCACATCAAACGACTCCTGAGTATTGAGTAGATACTTCACACCTTCCTTAGACTCCACCTATGAAACTACGCTAGTACGTTGCAATGAAATGAGAAGTTTAAATTAAATGTTTTGCAATCTAAGCACACCATTTTTTTGTTCATAGGAGAATCAGGGAAGAAATGCTTGGATCAAGTGGATAACATGAACAGAAGTAAAACAAATAAATCTAAAAATTTGCAACAAAAGAAGAAAACTGCAGCTGGAAAATTGTGTAACATGAGTTTAATCCCCCCTTTTTGCAAGAACATCAGAGGAAAAACTGTTAGAGCAAAGCATATTCATATTCTTATGCCCAATCTCGAAAGCACTCCTGTCATATTCGCGTCAGTTAATATGCAGTAAGAGAGACTAAAATGAGGATTGTGATGTTGAGCACAAAAAAAATTCACAATGAACAATTCCACAGATGTTTGTGTATGTAAAGGTTCTCATCAGCTTGAGCAGCAACTAATGTGAACGAACATTCAGTCGACAGCTTCAAGAACCTCCTACTTTCTACTAGAAGTAAAAACCAAGGACTTGCAATAAACATACAGGCAATGAAATTACATCCCAATAAACAAAGAACTTCTATCATAATCTGGGAATATCCATTATCTAAAACCAACAATATGGTTGCAATGATAGTCCAAGTGTCCGAGAACTTAAAAGGGACAAAGTTGCCGAGGCTCTAGACAATTAGTAAAAGTTTTAAGCCCTTAATGTTCTAACAAAGTGAATGCACACTCAGTAGCTTGCTTAAGTATAAGTTGGATCTTGAACAGAATTGCAGCTGGATGATTTTTGTTCAATAGTTTGTTCAATAGCATCAATAACTGAAACTGAAAACGTCACTGAGGACAATTGTAAGTGGACAGAAAGTATCAAATTGAGGAAGATATGATGCGCAAACTGTTCTAGTATCTAGAATTTCCATTTCATTGTCGTTTCAAACAAAAGCATGGAAGAGGCTTACTAAGCAAGAAGATGTATAATCATTACAAGTAATTCAAAATGAACCTGGTTGTCTTCGATTAAGAGACAAAAATCAAGCATCCAACACCTGAGAAATGAAACCATGGACAATATGATACAATACAAGTCAGCAGTGGCTACTAATGAAATAAAGGAACTGCAAGGAACGAATAAATACCAAATTACAAACTACGAAGGATGGCAAGATTAAAAGCACGTACACAAGTCCAAAAGAAGATCAAAAAGAATAATGCATCCATAAATTGTATTTCAAAAGTTAAGCTTCCTCCATTTTATTGCCAGTCCAAAAGTTTCAACTAACAATTCTGACGGGCAGCATAACTTGTCTAACCATTTTATTGCCAGCACAAAACCAATTTGAATTCAAAGCACTTCGAGAATTTAAGAACTTTAGGAAGTGCTCTCTTCTGAAAAGCATTTAATTCTTAAGAGCAACGCACTCCAAAATGGGGCTGTCAGACAATTAGATCCATAATTTACTCAAGGTGCCGACAAGTAACTTGTGTTCAGTTTATTTGGGGAAAAATTTCAATGAAAAGTACCACATATTTGTTTTTCCATTAAGAATCGATGGCAGATTCTTATCTATGAAAAACAGATCCCACCCATTTACCAGCAAACCACATGAAAAGGCTTCTTTCATAATTATTAGTATCTAGTGAAGTATTTAAAATATCTAAAATCAACTTTAACATCATATCACTTACCAGTTTTATATCCTAGGCAAACCCCAACTCTTGACAAGAACTTTCTGAAATACAGTTCTTGTGGACTATCGGACCCTGACAATCACTTTCACTTGGAATACTCATGTAAACAGCATCTTTGAACATCCATTCATCACTTTCTTCATTGTAGAAGTCTTCAAAAAACTCACCACACAAAACACACACACATTGACATTCATCTGCAGGAACCATGGTCTCAGTACATTCTGATGTCTCACTAGAACCTCCAGCTGGCCCTTCAGATTTATCGCCACAAGGGAGGCCACCAAATGCAGCAATCCATTCCCCAGAATTTAAATACCACTTTCTTGAATTATTCAACAGTTTGACATCTGGATTTCTCAATGAGTGCCATTCCAAGTGTCTATCAAGTTTCACTTGGAATTTAAATCCAAAACCGCATATTCCACACTGAAGTGGAACATCATCAACAAGGTCACTGATCACAGCAGGATGAGAATTCCGAATCACATCTGGCTTAAATACAAGCCCAATGAGACTTTTTGCCTCTTCTTTCATGGACTGAAGTAAGACCTCAGGAGTTTCAGCAGAAGGTTTCGAGTGTGAAAGTTCATCCTTATGAGCTGAAGAAGGAACAGATGAAGATGTTGGAGCAGATAAAGCAGGAGTTGAAATGGAACTTGCAGGTGGAATAAGGTTCTGAGTTTGAGGAGGTGTATCTGAAGGAGTATAAATAGGAGGGTCCTTCTTTGATGCGGATATTAACCCCTTCGCCACCAATGTACTCAAAATACTTGAAAGAGGACTGGAAGCAATATTTGGTGCATTCGGCGTCTGCGATGATGCAGTACCTGCAAGAGTTGGAGGCAGACCAGGTGGCAATGGTGGCTGTTCTACATTTCTCTGGGAATAATTTGGAGAGTTCGAAGCATTTCTGTCCATTGATAGACTAGTGACAGAGGCCGGCGGTATCCTAGGCCCAGATGTGGAAAACTGGGCGGGATGAGGCTGTGCACTGGCTTGGGATGAGAGAGCACCCTTATCAAGAGAACTTGACGTAGTACCAGAACTCGATTTATTACCAATGACTCCACTCTTCAAAACAGCAGCCAACAAACTGCTAGTGCTAGAGGGATCAGGAAAACCTGAAATCTCAGGAACTGTTGAATTCTTGGTTTGTACAGAATATTCAGATTCCAGGCTTTCCCGCTGAACCTTCTGTCTCAACTGATGAGAAGAAGACAAGGCAGACGAATTCTGCAAACTTGGAGGGTGTTGTCTTTGTGAATTAACTGAAATGGTATTCCGAGATGGCATTGTCAGAGATTCCTGGGCATACTGGTTACGAGGATCTAGATTTGACCTCCTTGAGATTTGGGATAGTCTTGGATCAGAACGAGAACTGGTTTGCATCTGGTACTGCTCAGCGGGACTGTTAATTACTTGATTACTGTTGCTTGTTATAAGTGATGGGGATGGAGGAAGGTGATGCATTGGTGACTGAGCAGAGGGAGAGGCAGCTCTGAGAGTCTCTCCCTGTTGCACTATGGATCCCCTGGATTCCAGAGTTGCATTCATCGGCCCAATATTTTGCGTTCCAACATGGACTGAACCTGTCTGTAACTTGTAAGATGCCCTACTTACTGAATTTGCAACTTTTGACAACCCACTGAAAGAAGTTTGATAGCCTTCTGAATGAACTGGAGCACCTTGAACAGAAGCTGAATGCCTAGCTCCATCTAAAGCATGTGATCCCCTGGACCACATTGCTGACATTTGATTCCCAAAAGAAGCTGGCCCTCTTTCTTCGGCAGAAGGAGAATCAGCTGAGGCTTCACTATCAGCCCTTAACCCGACCTCCCTTATGCTTTGTGGTCTCCGTAGTTGATTTTCTAAGTCCTGCAGATTCAGGAAAATAACAAGGTTGGTCTGTCAAAAACAGCATAAACATTTAAAAAGTAGCTACTAGAAGAAACTATGAAACTAGCTCAATCAACAAAGAGACAAAAGCATTAGGAATCATAAATTTAACAAACCTAGTGTAAGCATATTACAAAGTAACATACAAATGACTTTTCAGTACTTAAGGCATCATAAAGCAAGCTCATAGTTACAATGATAAATAGAATAGATCGGTACGATAGACAAATTTGCCAAAGGGGCTCTCAGCTGTCGAGAAAAAGGTTATATATATAAGAGAGAGTAGCAGCTAGAAGCGGCAGAATATGCTGATCCATGTTGAAGGGCTAGAAGTTGGTGCACAAATAGTGATTTCTATCAAAAGCAAAAAGTGACCTTGATGAGCAGTAAGCCTGCTGGTTTCATGAGAATTTTAACAAGCGTTAGAAACAAAAAATTTAGATTGCAAGAAAATGATTAGACAAAAAGTTCATGGGTTAGACACTATTAACTTTAAGGAGATCATTACTGCATTTTCTTATTAAGTTGGACTATCTGTCCAGAACTAGAACTACAGTGGGCAAAATGCATGTAATCCTTTTAGAAAGGAATCCAGTACTAATATGAATAAATGTTGGTTAAGCATTCTCTTACAGATTTATCTGAATCCTCAGATGCCCACCGGTCTTTAGCTGCATTATTTACATCATCCCACATGTACTCCTCTTCCTCGGAATTCTTCCAGCTCCTATCCGTTAAAGTACTGGTTCTATTTGGTAAGGACGGTATTAGTTGTGGATGTGCATCAGAGGTTGCAGATTTTTGGGGTATACTTTGGAAATCATGCTTAGTGTCCAAGCTGCTTCTTTGGCTCAATATTTTACCAGCCCCCGAATCATACCAAGGTTTATCGAACCCCTGTTCTTTAAATCTTTCACCTCCTCTTCCTACTCCAAAGGCAGCACGACTTGGCAGATCAGAAGCATAATCCGAATCCCCATATGCTGCACTGATAGTTTTCTCAGGAACATGCTCATTCAACTTTTCTTTCTGAGCACGCTACAATATTGCAATATTAACTGGCTTAGATTCCTTAACTTTAAAAGTTCAAGCAAGCATATCTGCAGACGTTCAATAGTTAAAACATACTCCATATCCCTACCTTAATGGAGGGATCAATCCATGATCTTCCAGAACTAACACTGGTCGTTCTCTCTGGTCTCTCTGCGTCCTCATTTACATTAACAGTACTGCTGATGTCACTAGCTGCTCCTTTTGCCTTCATTATAACAAGAACATTATAAACATAAAGAGTATTTTGCAGGAAAGATGTGTTTTACAATTGAACAAAACATTTGACATTCAAGTTCCCACCATCACCCATCAACAAAATATTTCACAAATTGACCCAAGAAAACAAAATTCAAGATTTTGTGTGTGTGGTGGTGGGGGTGGGGGGGTTGCACAATAACTAAAAATATTGATAAAAGATAATTGAAAAATATAAGTGTCCTTCTCTGGACATGCTTTTAGATGAAGCGACAGTTCGCGTCAGTTCAAGAGAAGGATTTTGGAAACCCAAGGCACTAACACTAATTCCTGAGAACCAGTTGACATGGCAGGTAGTGTCTTAACCCATTACATGAGCATTCACCCAATACTGAGAAGTCTCTGATAGAGAGACCATTCAGGTATTGTGGTATCCCCTACCATGGCTAAGTTTAAAACGAAGGGCAGTATTGTATGTGTTTTGTATGAAGGTAACAACAGTGCCTAAACCTCCAGCTATCAAAATCTCATTCAACAGCAGAGCAAGAACTGGGATAAACTCAGCATTTGAGATGATGAAAAGTTAGGGACATGTGACACAGTAGCAGCACCACATAACGTGCTCGAGAAAATAGATTCCAAAGAGAGCACCATAATGGCTACTCTCACTTACCCTGGTTGATTGCTGTAGACGTTGCCGTGCCTCCAGATATTTTGGATTTACATGAATGCTATGTGCAGGTCGTTGAGCCTGTGGATCAGGCCTAGATGTCCCTGATGATGAGCCGTTGACACCGGTAGTAAATCCGAGCTCCTTCTCAATTAATTGTAGTTGTTGAGGGGGGAATACTCCTTTCCAAGTTCCAAAAAGATGTCGCATCCCAGGATGTACTGAAGGTTCAACCTGTCTATAAGCTTTGGAGAAAACCTAAAACACACGAAAAAAAGATGATGAAGTATGTATTAGCTCGTAGTAATGCAGCTATGTCCCTATACTAGAAACATCAACCCAACTACAATTGATTACTCAAGGTAAGATAGGATTCACAGTGCTCGACATCATCATCCACTCAGATGGATGTCACATTCACAGGACACAGGAAAAACTAAGAATTCGTAACAGTGTTTTTTTTCCAAGTAAAATGAGAAGATCTCATCAAATGAATGGCAATGGTAACAACAGCTGAGCAAAGTATGTTACAAAGTTTCTTTTTCCTCTAGAAAAAAGTTGATAGATGAGAAAATGCAACGGTTGCAAGAATCATGATCACAACAAACTACATATAAATCCAAATCTGACCTCAGGCAGCCTGGTGGCAAAATACTTGATATAATCCCGCCCGATGTTCTTCACAATACTGTCCAAAAGATATAGAGATGGCAACTTTTGCTCAGTAGGAACCTGCAAATGATTTCCAGCTATATTAAAATCAGTTCGTAAAATCCATTGACACTGACTGATGCATATCGTATGCCAAGGGGTAAAAGCAAAAACACGAAACTCCTAAAGGGAAAAGAAATAGACAGAGAAACATTAATCAAAGGAGCAAAGCAAAGACTATAAGCACCATTATATCCGACATCTTTGCAAACCATGATAGCACATGCAATACAGCTCTGGAGTACTTACTTAAATATTCAGCAGACAAACTGAATAGCAAACTGGGCCGCAGAAGTATCAACATAAAAATCATCTTTGGCAAAGCTAGAGAACAATTTCAAAATAGAATAAACCAGTTAAGGGAAGGGAGCTGTTAACATGGGATGACCAGATCTGCCCGCAGCTCTGCACTGCACTCTCATTTCACCTTCTCTTTATACAAGCAAAATTTATTCAACAAAATCTAGACAGAAATTTACTTATACCTGTATCGCATCAATTGATATCATAAAAACAAATATAACCATGGACATCCTTCATATTAGCACAGCAAAATTTTATATTGTACAGATAACAAAACCACTCGGATCAAAGGATGGAAGACTTTCAAAGAGATGTCTTTCCTTTATCCATTTAAACAAAAGCATCTGCAACTTCAATCAGAATCTAATTTGGACTTAAAAAATGTTTCTGGTATGAAATTCACAATTTACACAACATAGAGTGAATGTGATTCTTTCTGTATCAACAACAACATACACGATGTAACCCCACAAGTGGAGTCTGGATGATTCTTTCTCTATCATTTTGGAATTAATCGCAATTTGTTTATGTCAATCACAGCATCCACTAGTTAAAGAAGCACAATCCAGACAAGTTACTTGAATCAAGAAGTTGCCAGACCTTCAATGTCTGATCCAAAAGCAAAGGCTCAAGATCAGTATATCCAAATTTCCAAAAATTGTGAAACTACAGGAAGCAAGATTCTATATAACAGCACATCTTGAAGACATGTCTTCGGTTTTTTTTAAAGGATTGAACTTGACATGTCTTGCATACTAAATTTTGCAGAGAATACAACTAAATAACAGGATACATCCTTCATCTGACAACAAATGCTAAATAGTGAACCTCAACGATGCTGAGTATCTGATTTACGCCAAAGACGTGAGCCCGACAAATCATAAGTATATGTAAGGTGCATGTTTTCAAACTGCCTAGCAATAAAGGAATTGGATCATCCTCACCATTAAAGTTAGAGCATAATCGGTGTTGGCCTTTTGGGAACCTAAAAGGCAAAATGAATTGAGTCTGTATTGGCCAGACATTAACCAGTCACATATAGAAACTGCACGAATCATTTTTTAATTAAAGAACTATGATACTTTGCGATACATCCAGGAGGAAAGCTTAGAAATTGGAAATACAAGTACTTTTTTGCCCAACGTCTCACATATAATCATTCTCATCAATGCAGTGGAGAAACTGTGATTGCACTTTGGAATTGTTTCACAGCGCTATTCGGATAACTTTGAATGGAAAATTCTAACAGTTAAAGTTATAATCATGACATCACCATCACCATAGCAAAGCAACTTATATAATTTCATAAAGAGACTAAATTTGTTCCAAATTCACCAACTTTCTCACTAACCAAGAAATCATTTACAAAATCTTAATTCTATTTTCAGCTACAACACTCATTACACCAGCTGCACTAATCTAAAATATCATAAATCTAACTTTGCCTTCTTTATCAGATTTCACTTCTGTACAACCAAGTAATAAAACACACTAAATTAAACAAAATCAACAACATTGACACAGTAGCATTTAAAACCGGAATATCACCTCAATAATGTTGTTGCAGATAGTAGCAGCAATTGCCTTGGCCGCTTGCAAATTCTCACCAGCAATAATAGTCAAGTTTGTAATTATCGGCTTTGAATTAAATGTTAGTTCAGCTAAAGCCGTCTTATATTGACTCACTAGCTCCTGATGCTGCGTCTGCTGTTGAAAAGACCCGCGAATCGAATCACTGTTTTCCGAGTCTCCCCCTTTATCACTAGCTCGAATCCTCGAATTCCCAGCTCCCCGTTGAGGAATAAAGCTTCTCCCATTAGAACCTCGCTCAGTTCCAATTGGGGCTTCGACTAATCTTGGTTTCTTAGGTCCTGGCTCCAATCTTGATCTATCAAATGGTCTACGAGAACCCTCCATTTCCATCACTTTATCCAAACAATCATCAAATAATAAAAGAAAAAACTAACCCTAAATTCAAACTATTTTACATCGGTTACATCCAAAATTGCTATTAAAAAAAACGCAAAATCAAAACAAACAACAAAATCACTGCTTATTACTAATTTCATGTAAATTTCAAGAACAACTCGAATCAAAGAGACTAAATCTGATCGTTATATATATACAGAACTGAAATTGTGAGCTTCAATTGGGGATTTTCAGCTGTAAATTGGAATAGGAGATAGGGTTTTTGATTGATTTGGGTAAAAGTGTAGCTCCTATATATATGGGTCGGGGCAATTGGGGGTGGTGTGCTATTTGAAGAAATTGGAAGAGAGAAAGGGGTAAAAGATATGGGCCTTGTTCGAGCCCATGAGTTGAGTTGGGCTATTTTTCTTGGCGACCCGTCTAGTTTGAACTGACATAGCTAGGTGAATTGGATCAACATCTATTTATCATCGTTAAAGAATCGTTTTGATTACACAATTCTTATCCTTACACCTCTCCAAACCATTCTCTTATTTTTGTTGATCTTCGTAATCTTGTCTTATATAATTATTCTTAGGATAAAAAAAATTATTTGTATATAAAATAGGGAAACAAGATAAATATTTCTCCTCAATTATCGAATTTGCATGTAAATATCCTTCGTCATGTTTATGTATTGTGTCAATATGGACATGCAAAGTTATTAATTATTAGAGAATTTTCAAAATAACACAAATATTGATGAAGAAATTAGAAATTTGTACGAGTTCTTTTACTGTACCTTCAACAATTTCAGTTGTTTGAATACTCAATTAACGCTTGTTATTTAATTTGTACTAACGAATACTTATAACTATAACTTTGCATCAACATAAACAGTAAAGCTTAAAGCATATACTCAAAAATAATAATTAATAATATAAGCATAAATTAATGATTGTAAAAAATATATATCTGAATCTTCAAAAAATAAAATGAAACAAAATGAAAAAATGAGTAAATTGAATGCACAGTGTCCCCTAAGAAAATTATTCTCCTCTAATACCAGATGTTTAAAGGAATAGATCCTCTCAAGATAGAACATATCTATTCACCAGTGTATTGACACAAAAACAATGGTGTGAGTGAGTCATTCAACAAGAGAAAAGTACACAAATATTTAATTATCCAGAAGAAGAAGATGAAGTTTAAATTTTTTGTTGTTTTAAAATGAGAGAAAAGTCATTTATTTGTAGACAACAAAGGGTAGTGTGAAGAAATAATTATCGTGTCTTATCGAAAATGTTACAACTTTGAAAAAGTAACAACCCTTCGAAAAGGTCATAACTTTCTATAAAAGTGACAACTCTTTATAAAATTCACAATTTTTCATAAAAATCACAATTTTTCATGAAATGAAAGACTAGTTTTGAAAGGTGGGGCCACGTAAGTGGGCCTAGGATTCTCTTTAAGACAACTTTCACATATAGCAAACAAAAAATTCATATTTGTATGCTATAGCAAAGTTTGCATAATTGCGCTCCATAGCAAACATAAAACTGTATAATTTGCTATACATATACAATTGTATAATTCGCTGGCCTAAATTGTATAATTCGCTGGCCTATTTCGCTTAATTGTATAATTTGTTTTGCATACAGTTGAATCGAATTAAAATGTATGTATATTGCATAATTATAAGTGTATAGCAAGAAGATATATGTTTTTCTCTCGCTTTATACAAAAATAGAAACACAATATATACACTTCTGTTGTATAAAGCTAGAAAAAATTGTATAATTCGCAATTGTATAATTCGTTGGTCTTTTTCTCTGCAATATTTGAAGTAAAATGTTTGAAATTTTATAATTAAGTGTATAACACGAAGATATATATTTTTGCATGTGTATATACAATTTTCTCTCGCTTTATACAAAACAGAAACAGAATTATACACTTCTGTGTATAAAGCGAGAGATGCGAGCGAGAATAGAGAGTGGCGAGCGAGATTTTTGGGAGAGAAACGCTGGCAAATTTTAGCTAACGTTTGCTATGGAGCACAATTAAATCAAACCCTAGCTATTCCATTTATTTTAGGTTATTAGTTTGCTATTATATACAATTTTCCCTTCTCTTTATACATATACTAGTTAATGCTCATCTCTAACTTTTCTTAATACATTCAAAAATTTCGGTGTTACCATGACTAAACTTTTTGAAGTGCTTATGAAATGATTTATTTTGTATTCACATAATGTTTTAAGTATATTATATGTCATTATTGATTTAGTGACACTTTTTGTAAAGAAGTCATTTTTGGTTATAGTTTCAAGAAATTTCATGTGTCTCACTATCATACATTGAACTTTTTTGGTAAATTTTAGTGAATAATATTTAATTATTAAGAAACAATGAACATTGTGTATGATAAATTTATTTTACAATAACTCATTGTATTCTTAAATTTATTTTACAATGAATCATATAATAAAAAATTACAATGAAATCATTCGAGCACATTGTATTTTACGTATAATAAATGCTATTTTTTCATACGAATTCAATAAATAAGATACATAATTTAATAAGATACAATGTTTTGATATATTCATTATCCTTTATGTACAATAAATTATTGTTTCTTGTAAATTCAATAAATATGATACATAAATTAGTAAGCTACAATAATTTTGATGTAATATAAATTAACGTTTATTGAATCTCAATTAGTTCTTTAAATTAATAAATATTAATTTCTATTTTAATTAATACATCTATACACTAATAATATTGTGTAGTCTCACCAATATTTATTTGGTATGGTTTTACTATAGTATTATTTTAAGAATAGAAGTTATTTGTAGGAAAATAAGAAAATCTATTTAGAGAAAATCAATTGAAAAAATTCTTTAAATATCTCTACCTATGATTATGATATATTATGAGTAGATATATATATGTACATTGTATGACACCCCAATTTAAAGCATTATTAAGCCATTTTTAGCAAACTATTTAGACCTATTTTTGATACTTCAAAATCTTTTAAGGAAAAAAATTTCAAACTCAAAATTGAAATCTATGCTCAAATGTATTTCCTTTTTTAATTTTGATTCAAAATATAAGAAAATTCTTCTACCACTAACTGAAGCAGTGTTAAGCCCTTCTCAACATACTATTCTGACCAGTTTTTGGTACTTGGAACTTTTTAAGGAAAAAAATTCAAAATGCTTGTATAGTTAAACATACATTTGATAGTATTTCCTTTTTTAAAAATCTGAGTCAAATAACATATGAATTTCTATCCAAATTTTAAGTGTCTTAAGCACTATACAATTCTTCATTTTGGCTCCTCACAGTGAACAACTTCTATTTTCTTTTCCCCATTGTGACATATTACACAACAAAAGAAAAAGTCAAATCCTTGCTTACAATGACCACTAATAGTATAATCACAAAAGAAAAATCACCTATGCTTGGTGAGGAAAAACCATTGATTTTTGATTCATCCCATATGAAAAATGAGTTCAACATTCCTACACAATATATATGGCCAGATGATGAGAAGCCATGTGTTGTAGCACAAGAACTTCATGTTCCTCTTATTGACTTAATGAGTTTCTTTTCTGGTGACCCCGTCGCGACCCAACAAGCATCTAGGCTTGTTGATGAAGCGTGCAGGAGTCATGGTTTCTTTCTTGTAGTAAATCACGGAGTTGAGTCTAATCTAATCTCCAATGCCCATCGTTACATGGACACGTTCTTTGACATGCCTCTCTATGAAAAACAAAAAGCTCGGAGAAAAATTGGTGAGCATTGTGGCTACGCCAGCAGCTTTACTGGAAGATTTTCTTCGAAACTTCCTTGGAAAGAGACACTCTCTTTACGATACACCGCTAAAGAAAACTCATCTCACATAATTAAAGAGTATTTTCAAAGGACATTGGGTGAAAGTTTCAATAATCTCGGGTAAGGACAATTGACTATCCTAATACTCTTCTTTTTCAATTTTTTGTCGTACTTTACTTTTTGGTATGCTTCAAAAACTTTTTTTTTCTTTTTTTGAAAGACATGTTTAAGACCAGACTACTAAACTAAATGATATACTTGTATATTTTACAATCTTTTGTTTAAGATTACTGGATTCAAAAGTCTTTCTTTGCTTACTTAAATTTTATGTGAAATAAAAATCAGACAAACAAATTGAAACAAAAAAGTGTTTGTTTTTCTATTTATCAACTATGTAATCAATTAACCTCTTTTTCTTTAATTATGCAGGAATGTTTATCAAGAATATTGCAATTCCATGAATACACTTTCTCTTAGGATCATGGAACTCTTAGGAATCAGCCTGGGTGTACAAAAGAGTCACTTTAAAGAGTTTTTCGAAGACAATGATTCCATAATGAGACTCAACTACTATCCCCCGTGCCTGAAACCAGAGCTCACCTTAGGAACAGGGCCGCACTATGATCCAACATCATTAACCGTTCTCCATCAGGATTGTGTTAGTGGATTTCAGGTTTTTGTGGACAATGAATGGTACTCCATCAGTCCAAATTTCAATGCATTTGTGGTTAACATAGGCGACACATTTATGGTAAGCAAATTTACACACTAAAACTATAGAATAAGCTAACGTATTATGTATTACATACAAATACTATAAATAGAGTTAATTAGACAAACTATATATTTTTAGGTGGCAAATATTATAAGATCTTTCTACATGACGCATAATGATATACATCGTGAATTCCTAGATGTACAACATGAATATAACATACTTAATGTTTTATCTTTTGCAGGCACTATCGAATGGTATATACAAAAGTTGCTTGCATAGAGCAGTTGTTAACAACACAACTCCTAGGAAATCACTAGCTTTCTTTCTTTGTCCACACAAAGATAAGGTGGTGACTCCACCAACTGAATTGGTGGACTACAACAACCCTCGACTATATCCTGACTTCACATGGCCTGCTCTCCTTGAGTTTACTCAAAAGCATTATAGAGCTGATAAAAACACTCTTCAAGCTTTCTCAATGTGGCTTCAAGAAAATAATGCAGAAGCTAAATATGAGTAATACATATGAGGTTCAACAATGAAGGCGTTGATCGTTTGTGTTCATATTGAATTTTTTATTTAGAACTACTTATATTTTTGCTGCAATAATTTTAGTAAGTTATCGACCTAGTATTTAGGAGTTGATTTCTATTTCAATTAGGTAAATTATATGTGCTTCGCACGGAATTAAACTATTTTATTAAGCTTACATATGATCATTTGGTAATAATTCGTATTTTTGATACATATATTATATTGTCAAGAACATTTTATTTGAAGACATCATTATTCTGAAATCTTAAAATTATATTTTTTTTTAATTTTTCATTTTTGTTATACAAAAGTCATGAGTCATAATAAGATTTAAAACCGACAAATAATAGTGGCAGAAAATCTCTCTGTTTATAAATAATAAAGAGTAGTGCGAACAAATACTTATTTTATCTCCGAAATGATCACAATCTTTCATAAAAATCATATTTTTTCATAAAATTTACAACCATTAATAAAAGTCATAATTTTTCAAGAAGACTAGTTCTAAAGATAAAATGAAAATTCTGATATGTGATAACACTACTTAGACAAATCTAAGATTCTTTTTTATATATGATATACATGATAATATATATTATTACTATGGTATAAATATTGAAATAAGTACTCTCAAAAATACTTAGCACTCTACTAATAGCAGATAAAATAATGAAAAACTCACATAAATATACTATAATAAAAAAATATTTACCATTTATAGCAATAATATTTTTTTTTACTTCATCACTTTTAATTCATTTATAATACAAGTTTAATTTATATTGCAAAGAACAATTTTTTATTCACATATAATACAAATTTTAATGATAGATAATTCATTTATCACACATTTTAATACGTTTATAATACAATGTGTTAATTTTTATCAAACAAACCTAATATATTTCAAAAAATAATTATAATTCATATATATTGCATACATAATTTACTTTTAATACATAATGCAGATTTAATATTATATTGCTATAAATGATGATAAATAAAAAGTATTGCTAAAATTAATAATTATTTATAAAAATATATCAATTTATGTAATTTTTCCTAAAATAATTTTACATTGTTCTCGAAATTATTATCCCTAGTATGTTGTACCTAAAAGTAACCATTTTTGTCAAATTACCCTTCTTACTTAATGCAGAAGACAGACAATGGCACCCCCACAAACTCCACCAATAAAATCTCTTTTCTTCAATATCTCCATTTCTATTGGACCAACTCACCACCATTGTTGAATTCAATTACTTAATACTTAAACTTTGTCTTACAAAATTTTTCACAAAAAATATCTGCTTTCTGCGTATAAAAATGGACCCCATTTGTTCTTCTTCCTCCTCCACAACATTTAAATCCCTAGATATAACCTGGTTGTTTCCTCATAAATCCTTTTCATTTTCCAGAAACCATACAAGAATCCAAAAAAAAAATAAAAAATTAAAATGGAGCTTCAGGAGAAAAACTCCACCGACTTTACAGAGTTGTTTACAGGAGATATTTCTTGGTTTGTATGTCGGCGTTACCTATATAAACCTCCCTTCAACCCCTTTTACCGACTTTTTATCTATCACCCTTATCGAAATTTTGAATCTTTTGATCACAAAAACTATTAAAGTTTCAATCTTTGATCCATAAAAACCACAAATCTCTTTGTATGATATGAACCCATTTGATAAAAAACAAGAATCTGATACTGATACAAAAACCCCATTTTTGACTGAAATGGACTCTGAATTTGCTGCGTTTTCACCAATTTCACTCCCTTTTGCTGACCCATCTTCTCCTTTTATCAATTTTGGATCTTTTGCCACTCCTTTGAGCCAACATCCAGTTGGAGAAGGGGAAGGAGAAGGAGAAGGGGGAGAAATTGAACAGCCAGCTGAGGGAGGATTGGGTGTGCCGCAGCCTATGGAGTGTTTACATGGGATACAAATTCCGCCATTTTTGTCAAAGACTTTTGATTTGGTTGAGGACCCTTTATTGGATACGATTATTTCTTGGGGTAGAAATGGAGAAAGCTTTGTAGTTTGGGATCCAGTGGAGTTTTCAAGATTGGTTCTTCCTAGGAATTTCAAGCACAGTAATTTCTCCAGCTTTGTTCGACAGCTTAATACATATGTGGGTATTAATTTTAGCACACTGGCCAACTTTTTCTGGCTAATGTGTTAAATCTCTAGTTCTCTAACTCTGTCTCTCTTTTTAATGATATTTTTTCCTTGTATGTAATTTCTGTTGTAGTTTTTCATGTATCTTTATTTTTTCCCTCATTTTTCTGTAGTTTGTTTGCTCTTTTGTTGTTGATATACTGTAAAGATAATGTCTTAGGATGTAAATGTAAATAGATTTTTCGCGTTGTAAACAGTATAGGCTCCTGCGATTGTAAATGAGAGTTGGAGAACTGTTTTTTCTTCTTGATAGTTCAATGTTTTTGGCATCTTGTGTAAATGATGTCATTGAGATCTTTAGTGGATAGTAAAATGGTGGGTTCTTAAGTAAAATGGTAAAGAGGTGCGCTGTTCGTGATGTGGGCTTGTAGATAAAGCTCCCTGCATTGATGCATCTGCTGAGTTTGGGAGGTTCATCTATTGCTGCAGGTAGAATTCAAAGGTTCTGATTAAACAGAGTGTTTAAGCTTTGTAGTTTATATATGGTCTAACTTCAAAAGATCTACTAATTGTGTATTTCTAGTGTAATGCAGCTCCTGGAACTCATGAAAATTTGACAGTTAGCATCTTGCTTTATGTAAAAATTTCATTTTGTTATATGATCATTATTCTCATGTTGTAGGTCTGATAGTTTAGGACGATTTTTGTTTCTGAATTACTTTTGGGCACCTTTATTCAGGGATTTCGCAAAATCGATGCTGACAGGTGGGAGTTTGCGAATGAAGGGTTCTCGAGAGGGAAGAGGCATTTGTTGAAGAACATACAGAGGCGAAGGTCACATCAGGGTGGGAGTTCTTCTGGATCATCTGCTGAAGCAGGGAAAGGTACTATGGATGAGATAGAGAAACTCAGGAATGAGAAGAGTTTGATGATGCAGGAAGTTGTTGAGTTGCAGCAGCAGCAGCGTGGAACAGTTCAACAAATGGAATCCGTTAATGAAAAGCTTCAGGCTGCAGAACAAAGACAGAAGCAGATGGTTTCATTCTTGGCCAAGGTGCTTCAAAATCCCACATTCTTGGCTCGTGTTCGGCAGATGAAGGAGCAAGGAGAAATTACTAGTCCAAGAACAATGAGGAAATTTGTTAAACATCAGTCACATGGTCCGGATGGAGTGGGGTCGTCTTCAATGGAAGGGCAGATAGTCAAGTTCAGGTCTGACTTTCAAGACCTTGCAGGATGCTTTGACAGCCCAGATTTCAATACAGTTGTGGATCAACAACTCCCAGAAATTGGTTTAGGAGCGGAAGCCATGCCTTTTGAAGGTGTTCCTGTTGCTGATGAACTGACAGTGGCACATGAACTTCTTAATTGTTCAGATCGGGAAATACGAGGAGCTTCATTCTTTAACTCCGAAGGCTCTCAATTCAAAGGGAAGAATGTAGCTAGTCCTCAAATAGAAGTTATGCCCGAGTACTTTGCCTCTTTTCCAGAGGAGATGGGGAAGGAGAAGAACGTTTCAGGATTTTCCACACCAGCTATTGGAAGTATGGTGAAAGATGAGGAACTTTGGGGTATGGGTTTTGAAGCCAGTGCTGGCATGCCAAGCACTGGTGCCGAGTTATGGGATAGTCGTAGCAGCTATGTTCCAGACTTTGGTGTTAGCTCTGGTTTGTCAGATTTATGGGATATAGATCCCTTGCAGGTAGCTGGAAGTTCTGGGGTCGATAAGTGGCCAGCTGATGGGTCTCCTTTTGGTCAGTCTGGAAGTCATGCAAACCAGCCCAAGAATGATAGTTTCTAGGAAAGAGTACCCTTGGGCCTTCAGTGTGCCATTGGGATACTGCCATCATTTAGTTGATGGGACATAATATTGAATGAGTGATTATAAATATTTTAGTTGATAATTACTTTTGACTGGTTCTTTTCTTCTATTCCCTCTCCTTGGTCTGCTATTTCTCCGCTAATTGTGCTGGACTGTGAATATTTGATGGCATAAATTGTAGATATTTCCTGCTAACATATACTCTTTTAAGTTGTGAAATACGCAGGTTTGCAGCACTGAAGGCGAGTATGGGACTTCTTTAGAGAATTTCGGACTTGAATGAGTGAATGACATTGCTCGCTCAAGCTTTTTCCAGGTAAGGAGATCTTGTGGTGACTTATCATATGATTGCTTGATGAATTATTACTTTACCAGAATTCTTTGAGATGCAGCTGAATAACATGCACAGATGATGTTTTGGCATGATTTAATCTAAAAAACTAGCATGATTTAATCTAAAAAACTAGCTCATGAGGGGAGTATTCTCCAAGACAACAACCATTTCCTCAACCAACGTGGAGATAGTATAAGAGTCGGACCTATTTCAATTCTTGGTCTATCCGATGTTAGACCTCATTTGTACTGTTCATACTTCAAATGTCCCGGCATGGGCAATGCTGGGAGGGAAGGGGTGTTAAAAGTTACACTGGTAGTGAGATAGTTAACTAGTCTCCTTGTCTATGTTGCTTGGCCTCTCCAAAAATGTCGCCGCACTCGTGTCGGGATCCTCCAAAAAAGCACTATTTTTGGAGTATCCAAACCACACCCATAGACATCTTTGAAGAGTCTGAGCATCATAGCTCCTTGTATGGTCTTGGGCAATACTCGCCTCATGAGCTAGCTTTTGAAGGTTGAGTTAGGCCCGAGGTCCATTCTCTTATGGTATCAGACTCGAGCTTTGCTAAGCCAATTTGTACAATTGTCTTATTTCTATCTACTGTAATGCTCTGGGAGTTCTCTCAACTTGGTCATGGAGCCACTCTGAGCTTCTTCTCTCTCCCAATTCAGCTCATCGAGTCACAAAATTTTGATCTTTCCCCACTTTTTAGCCATTTGAGCCTACTCTCCTCATTTCCAGGCCCATTCTTCAGCCAGTTGATACTGATCTTTGTCTCTCTGTATCATGTCTACTCTTCGATGTGCTTAAAAAAAAGGATTTTGAATCCACGTGTAGACTCAAGATTTCAGTTACATGTGCAGGAGGGTGTTAGAGAACTTGTCTCTCATCGAGTTTGTAAAATTTTTCAAAAGGTTTTATAATGTATGGGGCCACTGCAGTCATTATCCTTAAGTTTCTGAATTGGATGATCTGGTTATTTGATTCTTATGTTAGTGCACTACTTTTTGTATTTTGACTCACCAAGCTCCGCTGGTGGCTGAAGTTTCTCTTTCTCAGATGAAACGAAAAACAAAGAAGGTGAATTAGTATAACTCCTTCAGGGCTTCCGCTTCCTCCCCATTTACCATAAATTTACTGAAGAACACTTTAGGAGACTCATACGGTCCTAGGTAGCTTATTATAGAAATATAAGAAAGACGAGGTGGAGGAACGGAAGACTCTAGCAGTGTTGGTAGAGTCAATAAATTTGTTTCCTTAAGATGCTACAGGGTACAAACCAGAGTTAATGTTATGACTAACGACGCCCACCCTTTTAGAGACACGTTAGAGGTAACATAATCAATCAATTTAAAAATTGTGAATTTGTCTGTATCGCGGGCTGATGTCAAACAATCTTTTCTGTGTCATGTTGAGTAGGTTGACCTTTTGAAAGTGTTCGATGCTTAAATAGCTTACACAAAACAGTATTCAAATTTTTGAACCCTTAAATTTGTGTTGAACTTCTCTTCCGGTGCAGTCGATTCTTCTGTAATTGCTTGCTTGGATCTTGTACCCTCGCCTAGGCAAAGCAATGATGTACATCAGAAACAGCTGGCGAAGTCCTTCTCAGGGCTTAGCTCAGGTGGCAAAGGTCGAGGGAAGTTCAAGCCTTGCATCATGCGAACTAAGCCTGATATTTAAGTGGACATTGTGTTTGGTTCCAAGGGTTGGGCCAGACTGATTTCTTGGTTATCAAGAAAAAGATCCTGCTCAGCTATTCGGTTCCCCTTAGCTTATTTGTATATATCTAAATGTGTAGGATGTTCATCAGGGGCAATCTGATTATTGTTGTGTCAATGTAATAATTGATAGGTTATCCTGGCAAACCATTTGAGAAGTATCTGTACTGTGATATTGATAGGGGGAAGAAATGGTCATCAGAAAGGTGATTAGACATGACAAACTTATAGCTTACCATGGATATGATTCCTAAATAAGAGGATATTGGGGTTGATCATTAGGGTAGAACATTAGTAAGTAGTCCAACATTGTTTAGTTTCCTTATTATTGTTCTCCTAGTTTCGTATTCTGCAATTTTAGTATTATCTGTTGTTCCTTTTTATTTTTGTTACCATATTATCTGTTGTTATGGTTCTCTAGCATATTTTTCTTTTCACTATTGTTAGTTTTGATATTTGCTTTTGATATGCTTGACTTATATTGATAGTCAATCGAAAATAATTTCTCAACCTTCGCAAGGAATAAGATCACGTACTTCAAACTTAACATGTTCTTTTGTTGCGAAAAAAAAAAACTAAAAATACGTGTGTATACAGTATCATCTCAAAAGGTCTAGTCTTGGTGATAAAATTGGGTTCATGCATTCTGCTGGAAGTCCCCGCATTGGGGGTAAACCTGACAAAGGCGACTCCGTATTCAGAGGAATTTTTATGGCAGATTTAAACCCTCTTTCTGTTTCAAATAATATATTCAAGAAATACTATAGAGCCCTCAGTCCCTCACGGCTCGTTATAGGGCTATCACCGTATCTTGGATTAGAGTTGGTGGAGAAACTGGATCAGAAAATAGTGGGATTTTAGTTGTAAGATAATAAAACGAGACCAGGAGGACACAACATATAAGAAGCTACATGTATCTGAAAGTACATGCTATCAAAGACGTGATACGAACTGTGCATTCCCATTATAAATTCTTGTACGTACAAAATCATTTCTTGATAGAAAATAGAAGAACTGTTATTTGCTTACATTAACAAAATCATATGGCTAGACATTATTTCCACGAGGAAACGTACAAGTCAATTGCAAATGCTCTTCTGGGAGAAATGGCTGCTTGAATTTGTGAAGAAAAAAAATGGCTCTAGACGGGCATTCTGAACTAATATGTACGGAACAAAAGCCTGTAAATAAAAAAAAAAGGTTGTTACAAGCTCACATACTATCAAACGAAACAGCATAGGAAGCTAAGAGGTGAACCCTCTTCACATCTGCCAAGTTGAAGTCAGAAAGTCGAAACAATCACCAACACTTCCAACTTCGACTTAAGTTGGAGTAACATGTGTACATCAAGACAAATGTAAAATTTAAGCAGAAGGAAGAGAGAGACTTCAGGATACACGAACCTGAAGTAAACAAAGATTTGTTCCTCCCAGAAGATGATTAACAAAGAATGCCAAATATGTGCAGAAATCATACATCTATTACACGCATTCACGCAATCAACTGCGTGTCTGTACGGCCTGGTTGAGGAGGTGTTACAGGAGGTTTAATTAGTGGTCTCAGCATATCCATGATTGCAGCAAAGGAGGGACGTTTCCATGGTTCTCTGCAACATTACCAAAAGTAACTTGAAGTACACATCAAAGCAAACCAAAACCCATGTGACTGAACTATGGAAGAACATAGCAACATACTTGGCCCAGCAAGCCTCTATAATGCTTGCCACTTGAGGAGTCAAGTCACGTGGAATGTCGAGTCTTTTCCCCTTAAAGCTCACAGCTGCTACAACCTGCAGGTTTAGATGCATTTAACCAATACAGAATTCACAAGAATCGATATCACACCCCCTCTTATCTCATCTCTTAACAACGAGCATACCAATAAAGATAACAATGCATATGTTCCGTTTTAAAATATAGCCAAGATGCAATACAAGTGCCAAGTAGTGTTGCAAATTATCCAAGTTGTCTTTCTAGTATTAAATCAATGTTTTCAATCAGAGGTATCATAAAGGTGTTGCCACCTAGATACCAAGACAAGATTGAGTGCCCTCCCTGGTTTTTAATCAAAGAGAAATATCAGAAATTCGGAAATCAAAAGAGGGAACTTATAGAAATATCTTCCATGCGATTGATATCGTTTTATCCACATTTCTTAATTGACTGTATCTTCGTCAGAGAAAGATCTTTGCTATAAAGAAGCTGATATGAGAATACTAATCAAAGCATGAAGAATCTTTATAACATTGACATCGACATTCAATGCCCAATGAATGACTAGCTCTCTCCCTAAACCAAATGGAGAAGAGAGGTATATAAAATGAGGAATAAATGACTCTTCAGAGAATTGCTGAAGCAAATCGGATTGTTCTCCATCCCCTGGTATGAGTCTACCAGACATAAACAGAAACAAAGACTTTAGTCAACTCCTGACACAAAATTGAATGGCTCCAGACATAGCCCATTCTCCAGATTTTACATTTACATAAGAATGGGCTCCCCCTCTCCCCCCCACCCCCCACCCCCGGGACAATAGAGCATAGAGATAAGAAATACAAACCTGTGCTGGGTTCAAATTACTCCAAGGCTGTTGCAACGTTGCCAGCTCCCACAAAATAACACCAAAGCTGTATACATCAGATTTCTCATTTGATGGTTCATCACGAAGAACTTCAGGTGCCATCCATTCCGGCTATTCACAAGAAGAACCAGTTAAAAAAATGCATCGATGACGTGAAGAGAAAAAGACGAGCGGAAGTTGAACAAATCATATGTTGAATCAGGCACTTACAGTCCCAGCAGCAGACTTTGACGAGAGAAATGTGTTCGCTTTTAAACGAGAAAGGCCAAAATCACAGACCTGACGAAGACATCAGACAGGCCGGGGACATTCAACATCTTTGCATAAAGAGAAGGTTTTAATAATATAAGAGCACAAAATATGCATAGAGAAACACCATAACAGAACTCAATTATCTATCATAAACAACTTTCATTAAGACTTGTTCCAGAATGCAGTAGAGTCAGATCAGATGCAGAGCTTACGTTGTATTGTCAGCATAAGCATTGTAGACACAATATAATGTCTGTTGACGCAAATTAAGGGCTTTTCTAGGACTAGAAGTTTCCTGTATCTCACACTAATCTAAATAGTAAAACTAAAATATACTAAAAACCTTCCCCCTCATAGAGTTTTAATATCTTGAGATGCTGCATCCAGAACATAAAAAAGAAGTTATGATAGGTGTCCAGTACATCAACATGGCGCTAGATAAACAAATACCAGCATCCTTGCCACGTGGACATTGAATTACCACGATTCCAGATGGTCAATGTCCATTCGGATGACAAAAGAAACCTCTGACTCGCACGGGCCTACAAAACCAGAAGTATAATGTACAATCTTCAAGATATATGCTGTCTGTTGCAATTTAATCCTCCCCACAACATTACACGCCGTTAGTTCTCCATTATCTGAGAAATCTGACATAAGCTTTATCCCTCCAAACTTCCTTTTTTGTTCTCCAATAATTATGCATAAGTATACAAGTTTTTGACACTAAGACATCCTCTCCATTTTTCTCTCCTTTAAACGACTCTGATAGCGCAAGTCAAGAACTGTATCAATAGAGAAAAGATGGATTGCAATTTTAACATGTGCTGAAAAGGAAATTATTCTCACCTTCACTGTGTATTTTTTGTCCACTAAAAGATTTGGAGATTTCAAATCTCTATGAACGATGGGAGGATTGCGTTTATGTAGATAATTCATCCCCTTTGCCTGCACCAATATGATATAAGGAGATGAGCCCCAGATTCAAAATAAAATGAGGCAGAGCGGGGACGTATTCATACCACATCATATGCCATAGACAACCGACACCTTTCATCCAAAACCTCCCTAGCACCAGGTTTATGAAGAAGTCTATATAAGCTACCTCTGAAATACATTGCAACATGGGCACTGTTAGCTAGACTGAAAAATCAAAAGTCCGATTACTGTAGGGTTTGCCAAGATAAAACCTTGATAAATATTCTGTAACTATGGACAAGTTTGGTCGCTGAGTAACTGCACCCATAAAAAGCACAATATTTGGGTGTCGCAACCGCTTCATAATTGCAACCTAAACAAAACGGAAGGAAGGTCGGATTAGTGCAATTGGTCTAAGGAAAATAAACAATAAAACTGGCATTCACCCATCCTCATTTTCTCTCTTTTATCCAGTTTGCTTATCAATAGTTGAGGAGATAGGGAAATGAGAGTTACCTCCCGCAAAAATTCCTTGAATCGCTCTGCATGAAAATCTTGTTCCATGAGTATCTTCACAGCAACATCCTAAAGTAATTTGAAACTTCCATCAGCATGCAATTATGAAGGAATAAAACCAAACGAGACAGGGTAATTCAGAAAGATAATCTCAAATAAGGAAAACAAAAGAGAGAGATCAACAGATAAACCAACAACATTTATTCGAGAAGTGGATCAGGCCAAAAACAAAATAGAAATAAATAAACACCCAAATCATTTACAAAAATTACACTGAATAAATGCTTCTCCGAAGTGCTAAATGAGTTAACTGATATAACAAAAACGAGTATCAAGGATGCAGAACTAAAAGGAGATGTCTTACAGAACCATTCCAATCAGCACGGTGAACAGTACCAAAAGACCCTGAGATGCAACAATCAGTGTTAGGTACATGAGAAGAGGATGCTATGATACTCTAGCATCCCAATATCACTAACATGTACTGAGACAATCATAGCACGAGACTAAAAATGAGGATACAAAAGATAGCAGGCAGGGATTACCTGCCCCAATCCTCTCCTTCAGAACAAGATCTTCCCAGGGTATATCAAAATCTTCTATTTCAAGGGCAATGTCTCTACTTATTTTAGAGGGAACAAGTTGACTTCCTCTCTCAAGAAATCGCATATCATTCCCTATATCTCTTGGGTCTGATAATTGTGTATCTCCATGCAAAACTGGACGGACATACTTCACAGGAGCCATGTCCCTGTCCATGTTAACTGAGTTTAAGATATTTTGAGGACTATCTACACTAGTAAATAGTAAGTTGACAGTCTTCGTCAAGACCGTTTTACCTAATTGCAGGCACAGGTAACCGAGAAACTTCATCACGGTTACTTGGACCAGTGACAGCACTGTTTCTCTCAATGTTATTTCGGTCAGTTTGTCCTGCGTCTCCATCAACAGCAGCTCCTGTGACAAACAATATTAATTAAGAACCTTGAAACAGAACATGTTTGGGTATAAAATTCAAGAAACAATCAAGGGAATTAGTTTGTCAAGATAATAATATTTATTTGTATGGGAAGAGGAAAGGCAACTAGATAGATATGCTAAACGTGACTAAGAAAAGTTAAATGGAATT